CTGCCTCTAAGTCTTGTTTCTTTCTTATTAATACTAGGCCAATCAACTTATATTCTTATCTAACGTAGAGTGACAAGATAGACATTGCACTCACAAATAACAAATTTTCTTAATTATCTAATCATTAATCTTGTGTTTCCGACAACGAAAATAACACTTCAGATAATTCAGTGCACTATGTTTGGTTATACCACATTTGTTACAATTTATATTGATGTTATAACATTAATACGTTTTGTATATAATGAGAGAGATAAAAGTTTAAAATGTCAATCTCTTACAAATTATTCTCCTTCTTCGTTAAATAAAATATATTAAGAATTCTTTGTTTAAAATACATACGATTTGTTAAATAATATAAGTACTGTATAAAATTTAATTTTTATTAATTTTACTAATTCCTCTCAGATATATTTGTCAATTAATAATAAAACACAGTAAATTATTGCACGAAATGGAACATTTAAATCTGTAATTATTTACACATGAATTTGTTTTATAAGCTTAATCTAAATCTCCATATTTATTCTTATCATTTAAATAATAAAATCACGATATTTGTAAATTCTGATAACTACGCCGACAAGAAATCGTGCTATTTGATGGAATTGCATAAGCTTCGAAACCCAAAATCTGCAATATGTTCAGACAAAATAAATAAACTTAGATGATTTAAATAAAGCACTTACATTTTTGGAAAGCGATGTATTAAATACAAGGATAATAAAAAATGTTTTCTTTGCATTGCTATGACAGATCTTAATGTAGTAAAATATTTTCAACGATAAAGAAAACGTAATATAAAAGACATTTATAATAAGAAACGGTAAAATTTTAACACTAGGCTTACGAGCATTTATGGTAAAGTTTATTTTATCGCTTCTAAAAAATTGTTGGTTCATTTAGATGTTGATAATTACGGAGCTAGGATTTATATTCATTTAATTGCATCAATCATAATCGACGTAAACATTTACCAAACAATGTTTATAAAATTCAATATGCGTCGAATTGACGCGTTCTGTAAACCTAACGTTAAATATTATGTCCGTTTATTTATAAATGTTATAAAGTGAAAAATTATAGTATGAGCATCTTTAAACGAAAACTTACTGTCATCATCTTTATGGACATGTTGGTACAGATTAGGAGGTTGCCGAGAAGTGTGTGTGGGCGTTGGAGATGTTGGTTGAGACCAGTGCTGCCCCGTACACCCGGTAGATCCCACTGGGACACTGTAATATGGTTCAACACCTACGCCCATTCCTATCCCGACTCCAACTTCCTCGCCGACGGAGGATGATGCTCCACTTCCTCTAGCTAACATTGACGGATACATTTTTTCGCTTTTCGTGGATCTGCGAAAACAGACATATAAACATCTGAGTCATTGACAGAGGATGTGGGAATGGTGTATCATAAATGTCTCCGAAGATGGGCAAACAGTTCCATAATTAAATCTATTTTCTTATCACGACAAGTCTGTTGGTTGTTTTCAATTTTTATTTTGTGTGTGTTGTGTTTATGATATTTATTAACGAGCTGTTTGCATCTTCGAAGAATAGAAAAGCGCGCAACGTGCATCGATAGAAGATGTTTAACGTCAACGATTAACATTTAACCGGCCACACATCTGTATCGTCAATGAATTTATGAAACAATTCAAATCAAACGAATGGCAGTTCCTGCTAGAATCCATTTTACTGTTTAAAGAAATTCTAGTTAATTAAATTTTGTACCTCGATTTATGTATATGGTAGGGTTTATTAGAAGTTTTAATTAATTTTATCTACTTGGTAGATACATTTACATTATTTGAAGTAATAATTAGAAACGTCATTAACAAAAAATGCTAAACTTCTTTCTTTTTTACTTTAAAATAAAATGTTTCATTTGTTATCGACAAAAATGTTAGAACAGTGAATTATGAGTATAAAACTGGGATCAACTTATCCTGGAAACATAGTGATCCGGAGATATTCGACTTTTTCCGTGCTATTACTTTCATTAAGAAATCTGTTCCAATCGGGTCACAGATTACAACACTGTATACAGGGTGTTCATGCAGGTATGAGTCAACATTTCCATTGTAATTAACAGGGTATGAGAGAAATGAAGGAGAAAAATGTTTAGTGTCTTTTATCTGATGTAATGGAGCATGTCAATTTTTAACGTTTCCAGTATTTTTGGAGAAACGAAAGAGAGCTTTACTTTTTTGGTACAAAAATACATCTTCGCGAAAAACAATGGCCTTTAAAATTCTATACAATGAAAAGCTCAAAGACACCTTTATTTTTCCAACAATATTTTAAGCGTAAAAAGTTTATAGATCTCTTTATGTTGGTTATAAAAGGTAATAAAACTTTTCTACTGATTATTAACTGCATGAACACATTGCAAATGTACACTGTCGACAATTTAAAGATATTTTATAGCGAAATACAATGGATAATATACAGTGAATATCTCTGAAACATTAAGTAAATTAAGATAAATATGCTTAAGTAATTTTATACTCAGCATTCGTAATTTTATTGATTTAGATAACGAAGAGTTAAACATTCAAACAAGAATTAAACTTTACTACAATACATTTTATGTGACGTTTCAGTTTATTATTCGAATTAATAAGGCACCCTGTAGAAAGTAATTCATAATTACATGTTAATACTTCAGGCGACAAAGCTACGCGCCAAAAAAAGTAGAAAATGTCATGTAAAAATGTCTGATATACGAACTGAATTCTATTAAATTCTCAGCTGCTTCTGACAACTAAATTTTAAACTATACAGCACGTACTTTTAGCACCTAGAATTAGACTGTTCACACTGACGGTCACAAAATTGTGCTCACAAAAATGAAATAAAAGTTCTAAGACAAATCTAACTGCGGCCGGTTAGATATTAAGAAAATGTCCAATAGTCCATGAAATCTCATCAAAATTTTAGAGATTCTTACACGCAAAATTATTCAAGTATTTATTTTTACACGACAGAAGGCTCAGCTTTCATGTACAGTGAACACTGGATAATTGCAACACAGGGAACCTCTTCATAATTGTAACATCGTTATCCCCACCATATCCCCACCAGGTATATATGTACGGTTTAACACAGCATAACGTTCGACGATCAATCACGGTTGAATGGTGTAACATGATCCGACTATTGTCGGACTCGACGATTTCAATGTCTCTTTCCTTTCTATCCACAGTCCTTTTTTATATCCAAAACTTCAATCGCTTACTATACAAGCGAGTATGATCATAAGTCTATCGTGTTTGATGTCATTTTAATCGGGAACACATAACAAACATAATGGTGAAAGTTTCATTCGTCAAAAGGCAAAAATAAAAAAATTTGATCTTTGAAGTTTGAAGCTTATCGTGGGTCTTTAACGTAGCCGAACGTTTCGACTCTCAGTCTCTCTTTTTCCTTCACTCGCGCTCTCCTTTTGTACGCACGCCATGCTAAAATCTTCGTTTCTCGGGGCGAATTCGATTCTACCTGTTCATAATTGCAACCTTCCGATCCCGACGAGTGTTGTAGTTATCGAATGTTCACTGTAAATATTGCACCTTGTCGCGTTCGACTGCGTTCGATAAGACAATCTAATTAAAAGATTAACGGATCAAAAATGTTTAGATGCGAAGACACTGTCGTGTTCCGTGCTAGTTAAATACCTGTTACGTTCATTTTATAGAAAACGTTCTAGACAGACAGATTAAATCAGACAAGTATTCCTCGCATCTGTGCATTCAGTTTGCTTAGGACATCGACAAGAACACGTCTATCTATCTTGACGAGTGTATACGTAATTAGTCGATCTGGAAGAGGCTCCTAATTAAAAGATAAATTCTCTGTCGTCTGAAACTGGAGTGCCACTTCTCTGTTGCGTGTACACTCGTACAGTTCTATCAGAGCACAGCGAAAGGAAACAAGTCGAATAAACGAATAAAAGGAATATCTCCAGGGAAGGTAAATGCAGCAAGTGGGAGCAAATCGTAGAATGATTCTTTGTAATTATCGCCATTACTGAAAGTAAATTGGTCACATAAATGACTCGGCAAAACTGATAGATTCACTTTTAATTGATGCTGTCTTAAAATCTTCAAAATTATATTTAATAATATGAGACAAACCTAGACTCTTGTATAATTAATTTTATTCAATTAATTAACCAACAACTTTAAATGTAATCAAGTAACAGTAACATGCGTTTAACATTCTATTTAAAACATTCGAGTTCCCATGAACGATCATTAGTAATTTTAATTTTTATTGTTGTAATAATTATTCTTTTAAATTTATAGTTTAGTAGGAAATATACTTAACACTAGGCTTACGGACATTTAGCGTACAATTTATTCTATTGTTCCTGGAAAAGTTGGTGTTCGTTCGTTTGGATCTTGGAAAGTAGAGGTGTCAAATAGACGATTAGGATGCATACGTTCGTGCAATTGCATCGATCAAAATCAACGTAAACATTTACCAAACAATGTTTATAAAATTCAATATGCGTGAAATTGACGCATTCCGTGAACCTAGTGTTAACTGAGAAAGCGGATGAGAAGTTTTGTGACCAATTCTATATTTAAAGAGAAAAAGTCGGGTAACAAGAGAGTTTCGTAAGAAGCACTGACATGCACTCGCAGAAAAAGCCTGGACGAATCACAAATGCGATGGATATGTGAATACAAGAAAGTGTATAAACTGATAGGAACAACGATAACCAAATTGCTATTGAGTAAAAGAAACGATAAACGTGTAAAAACTCGAATACACATTCAGATACAAATATAAATATACACATGAACGTGTGTAGTAGGTACGTGTGTGTTAAAGTGCGTATAAACGGTCACTCGTGTGTACATTTAGGGTATACCGCTCTGGGTATTTTTTTTTATCGTTCAATACTTATGCATGGAAAACAGGCACGACGTGTATTCTAGATTTTCGCACTACCTTGGGAATGTCCTGTCCCGCAGATGGCTAGAACGGTATCAAATGAACTGCGTTATTTCACCGTAAACGAGCAATTTGCTGGTCGTAGAGTGGTTAATTATAAAGAATCAAAAAAAGCTGGAACTGATCGAGATTATAAAAAATATATAATATATATATATATAATATATATAATATATATATACATAATATATGTATATATATATGGTGAGAGACATTTGCATCCTCTAGTCATGCATCTATACATACAGACGTATGCAAATGACTTCTAAGGATTTCGTAAAAGGTCGGTGGTGGCTAAACATAAAAAGGTAAAGTTCGTTGGGAGCATACCTAATGGAATTGCTTCTGTTCAATCTCGGCGGAGCCGGCGAACCTGTGGAGTCCCTTTGATGCATTAATAAACGAGCGTGAGTTAAGCTCGCACGATGCGACCCCAGCGATTCGACGCTATCGGCTTCGCACAGGCCCATTCCTGAAATTATCGAAATTAAGTATACGCATCGTGGGGCGTACGACAGTTTTACGTTTAAAGGGTACCGTAAAAATTGAACATGGGGTCACTTCATTAGAACGAGGTTAATTAAGATATTAAAATGCGCAACTTTTAGGAGACTTTTAGGAACGTAATCATGTGAATAGGAAATGGAGAATTATACTGTCTCGAGTTTGAAACGATTCTAGGAGCATTTTAACCGTTCGAGTGCGGAACTCTCCAATTTAGATAATTTTTGCAAAAGATACTTGTACTAGGTAATAAAAAATGTGTACATTTATAATATTACTATGTCATACATAACACTTACAAATAACAAATATGGTGAATTGTTTAATTGTACCACCAAATTTATTTATTGGAGAAAAATGTTCGAGCAAGAAGTTGTTTGGCATCAAGAGTTCAAATTACGGTCGACGAAAATATGGTTGGTTTGATTGATGTCGAATAATTTTAGTTTGGAACATTTTTTTATATGATAAATAGCTTACAAGTAAATTCAGGTGACAGGGTTGAATAACAAGCTATAACTATAGAACAACAACTATACATGTACATAAAATGATATTTTGACACATACCGAAGAAAATGGTTCCGCTGTCAAACGGTTAACATTAGATTTACGTACATTAATTCCATACATTGTAATGTTTCAGGAAAGTAAATATTTTGTGCAAAACTGTTCGAAACTAAAGGTTGAGAAAGGAATAAATTAAAAATTAACAGAAATTGCTAGACGAATTGTATTTATGACGTTTGGAATTCTTTAAATATAGGAGTACTGTGAATCTAATGTTGAATATTGTAGAATGAGTATTAGAGAAAAAGTGGCCCCAATTTAAGTCATACTTTTTATATCCAAAGGGTACAGCTGGATAAAATGGTCAAACATGCCTTTGAATTAAATTAAATTGACTATGGAGCGTTAGATAGCTTGCCAAGACGAAACATTCTGTGCCAAGTTTCAATATTTTACCTTGATCACAAGTATAGTTTATGGAAAAATTAGATTAAGGCCATATTAATGCATACTGATGCATATTAATTCATATTGTATCTACTTTATTAGATGTTCCATCTATATTCTATCTACTTTAAGAATTTTAATAGTAGGTACACGATTGCAAAGTTTATCATTTGTTTAATTTGATCCAAGGATATTTTTGACTCATTTATCCAACTGTACCCTTTACTTAGTTTTCTACTTTCTGCAATGATACGATAAAAATTAAATTTAGCAGAAAGATACCATACAAAATGTAAATATTTTGTTTGCTACATATCTAGATGTTACGAAACGCACATAAAATTTATAGGTGTTTTTTCCAATTTAAAAAATCTTGTTAAAGTCCATCAACAAATTGTAAACATACGAAACATATTACGTATTGGAATTAGATTCATTTCCTTATGGCTCATTAAGAAATTATTCTGATCACATATAGAATGTAGTATCATCCATGTTCAGTCATCTGGAGATTCTATCAAGTTCTACAAGAATCAATAAAAATGTCACGAGTACATTAATGTATAAAAAAATACATATTACTCTATGTGATTATGTAATTATCTACATTTTTTATAAATCTTCGACGTAATTCTATTATACAACTATAGCGGAGAGTGTCATTAATTTTACTTCGTCCGATAATTGAATGTGTCTGCTATTTATTGTTCATAAACGCTTAATTACGATAATATACACTACACGATTATCGAGATTATAAACTTCTTTTATATCAATTTACAATGAAAGATGTCATTTTCTCACCATTGCTTAACTGAAAAATAAAATAGTAAAGTATTATATACGACATATTTATTTCATTAGGAAAATTAAACTTTAATTTTTCTTAATCTTTCACAAGTACAGTCTGCTAAAAAAGCTTTACTTATATGAAACATTCTGCTTCAGAGGAATTGAAAATGTCTGAGCTCATGATTGAAAGATCATTTTCAGTGGACTACGTTAATGTATATACAATTACTAGTTGCAAACGCTAAATCACAAGATGTAAGATCTTTTTCAACAAAATAAAAATAACAATCAAAATAAAGAGTTACATGTCTAAAAAAAAGCACAGAAACTTAATAGCTTATTAAATACCCTAACAATATAAATATGAATGTAGTCTACTATGTGAATCCAACTGTGACTTTTTGCTATTAATTCTCCAATCATTCAGCTCAGTAATTAAATATTTCTAGTTAGTGGATACTAATTTAGAATATAAGCCGGGTATGCTTCACCTACATATCGCAGAAATGCAAAATATTCACATAGTGTGGCACAAAAGGATCCAACTTAAACAATATCAATCGAAGGATTAATAGCGAATCATAATAAAACGCATAACAGTACAACTTGTCACTCGTCCCTTACTGCGAATATTGAATATACCCATCATTTATGTTTATCTTCATCATCTACTGATTCTTAATTTTCTTATGCATTAACGTAAAGACTTTGACATAAAATCGTATCTACTACAACGGCCATAAAAACGAAAACTAAACTGTATTTGCAGTCACTGTAGGGTAAACTACTTTAATTCGATAGCATACTCTTTGTAGCCGAGAAATCACTTGACTAATTTGGTTAACTATTTGCACTCGAGAGGCGACTCTCAGTCTCTCTTCATTGGACACAGTAAAATGATAAAGACTAGAAAAAACATTGGAACAATCTTTCGGGAAGGTGAATAGCGTATGATGGAAGCTTCGATTTTCGAAATCATCTTAAGATCACGCATTAGAAATGAAACGCATTAGCAGAGGCAGTGCAAGGTAGGTACCTTGGGAGCGTCCACTCGGTGTATAGGTATTGCTGTGTCTCATCCAGGATGTAGTGTAAGGGCTGTTAGGGGTGTAATACCCTTGAAGATCAGGTGCCGCATAATTGCTACACGTGTCGCTGAGACTTCCATCCGACGGTTTGAGAACTCGCGGCGAGAAGGAAGCACTTGTTGGCCCGGCACCAGATCCTCTTTCTCGATGATGAGCGGATGCGAATAACGCCGTGAATTCTGGGCTACCAGGCTTCGGCAAGCTCTGCGAACCGAGCATAAGTCGGTCTCGTACTGATTGGGAAAGTTGACTGGCACTAGGACCCGTGAGGCTGTAACTCTTATAATGATGTCCTTGACTTGAAGTGGAGTTCGCCTGGAGTTCCGTGGTGCATGTTTGCGTTCCACCGGATACTTTAACCTGCAACGGCGAATTGAGAGGCATGAAAATTTATATTCGCTGCAATCACTGCTTGGGATTGCCAAACAGAAATAAACGACGTTAAAACTTTTTCTAAATAACGTGCCCTTTTAATTTGAATAAACGTTTGACAAGAAACAGTATGTTTATATATGCCAATATATTGCAAACGTATTAAATAGTGGCAAAGTTAAATTTTGAAAGAAACCCTAATCACATCTTTTAACGTATCGAAATTTGTATTACATATGTATGAATTATTAAAACATTGAAAAGTGTTTGTTTGTGGCAAAGCTTTGTGTAATAAACTATTTCTGCATTGAGTATTAACAAAAAATATACTTTATTATTTATGCGTAGGTACATAAAGTTAAGTTTTTTATTTATTTATGCTTAATGGATGCTTTTTCAATAACATTCCTTGCATTATTGAAATTACTTTTGAATATAAACAAAAATTAGGGTACAATTGAAAAAGTGTAAAAAATGTATTTATGCAAGTGACTTTATCAAAAATTTGTCCCACGAAAGTAGGATGATTTGGTAAATACGTCTTGGCAAAACATTGTGAAGGAATATAATTACGTGGTAATGAGAAAAATAAACAAGATTAGTTTACCTTTGTTCTCGGAACAGCGCTAACTTGAGCTGTTCTCGTAGTATCTTTGCTACCATTTTGGACTCCGTTAGGACTGGGACTGGTGCCAGCGCTGTGTCTCTTAACGTATCCAAAACTCTGCGGCACTCCTCTAACTTTATTGCTGCCGCTAGTCGACGTTCCTGAAGAAACTTTTTGAGGTTTTTCGCCGTTCGCATATTCGGCCATGGCCTGCTTCCGATGTTTATCCTGAGAAAATATCAACAAGACTTATTACGAAATTGAATAACTTGTTATTAAATTGTTACATAAGTATTACTCTACTACTATAATTTATTATAATATAATATAATATAATTTACTATAATTTAATACTCGTTACCATTAGGCAATTAGTTAAATTTCATTTGATTAACCCCTCGTCCTATGATTTCTTTCACAACTGTGTTCGATAGAACTTCTTTATCTTTAATAATCTGGTAGAAAAAGTAATATTTAATTTTACTGAAAATAAATAAATAACACTTAGATTTGTCAAATTCAGCTTAAAATTTTCAGCACGAGTTTGAGATATTAACTATATGCCTTATTATTCGCATAATTGGAATCAGAAAGATTGCTCTTTATTATTAATGTTACAACTTTCCGACCAAAGGGGAAGGGAATCTACTGCACAAATAAATATGTTGAGAAGGTTTAATATTCGTAAAAAAGCAAAATAACATTTTTCTTCAACTGCTACGAATCACGTAACATTTACATTTATTAAATTCACTTTGAAACTGGCTTGCTATTAAGGCAAGGAGTTGAATGAAAAAGGTACTGTAAGATGTTTTACGAAAAGAAGACTTAAGAAGCATACCCAAAGCATTATGTAAATCTAAACGAAATATTAAATATTCCACCTTTTATAATATAATCCTTGATGTCTTCAAAAACTTGTATCAACATGAATTCAGTTATAGTTCAATATTATTTCGATAATTTGTTTGAGACACTTGAAGAATCCTAAACTTTTAAATATAATCGAGTTTAAATATAAAGACAAAAGAAAACTGATAAAATAAATGTCAGGTTTGTCTCCATGTTGAACCGCAAGGGGTTAAATAAATGTATGATACTAGACTGTCTGAGGAAAATAAGACAATAACGAAGATTACATTTGCATGAAAGCGATATATAAATTTTTCTTTTAGGAAGGTGAGTCTTCCATTTCGAAAATCAATAGTGCCCGGCTGAAGGACGAGTTGCAAAGAGACAGAGTTATGTGTATACACAAAATGTTTACTTGGGATCGCCTGGAGGGACTAGGACTCGGAGGCGCGCCATCCTTGTCTCTCTCCCTGTCCCTCGCAGCTCCAGCTTCGATATACTTTTTCCATTGTTGGCTGTTTGAACTACTGTTCGCCGAGCTATTCGAGACCTGCTGCTGTTGCTGGTGTTTGAATGCCGAGTTGTCAGTTTGCTGAGAGCTGTCCGACTTCTTTACATGCGGATGATGGCCGCCAGGATGTCTGGAACTTACGACGCGGTACACCAGGCTGCTGCCCTGTTGTGCACCTTGGGGGGTGGCCGAACTACTGCCACCCCCCACAATCACGCCGCCACCACCCGGCACTCTCTGTTCAACAAAAAAATAAGAATGGATTAGAGAAATAATACGATACTGTGTTAAGATGATACAAATTTTACTTGGAACAAGAACGTTTCTCGAGTTCTTGTTAAAATTTCATCCCTTAACACTAGATTTACGGAATGAGTCAATTTGACTTATACTGAATTGAATAAATATTATTTGGTAAATGTTTCGGTCAATTTTGATTGATGCAGTTACGCAAATATGCATCTTAATTGTCTACTTTGAAACCCCCCATTTCCAAGATGTAAGTGAACGAATCTTAATCAAATTTCATTAATCAATATTCCTCGGTTAAATAATTCGATACTTAACGCTTAAGCAACTGCTTGGAAAGACTATAACCACAACTTTATTCGTTTAACAGATGTTCTTAAAAATTATATTTTATAAAAGCGAGGAAAGTGTTTAATAAACTGTGGGTATCCTTAGTTTAATACTTATTATGGAAATGCTCTAAATTACATTGAGTTGAAGACAATATCTTGCGTTATAAAAAAAACAACGGAGGCACTTATCGAATGCTGTTAACATACTCTGTACACCAATGATATACAAACATTTCGAATAACAAATATTAACGCTTTGTCTTATGATATCGTGTTAGCCTCGTAACAAAAACAAGGGTTAGCACACGCAATTCTTATTAAATTCAATTCAGTTGAAGTTAAATATTATTTTTCTATTATCAGTAGTTAATCATTGAAGTAAATACACGTAGACACAGGATGAACATAGAATTCTCATTTTTTCAGTGAATTATTATCAATACAATAGTTCTAGCGAGTGGAGTTATAAAATAAATCATAGAGTAAGGGACCGATATCAAAAGAAACTGTTACACTCAATGAGATAACATTCAACTTGTGGTTGCTCACAATTTGATTGAAAACTTTTTATTGTGTACATCGATTAAAAAGGATTATACAGTATAATGTAATTGATCAACAATCTCGTGATTATACTGTCTAAATAGAAACAGAATATTAATGCCGCTGTAATCGACAATCTGACCTGGGTCAAGGCTTCCGGAGCGCTTCATTTCACTATTATCGATTCTCGAACGCGAGGTTTACAGAAGTCAGAACCCCTGATGGTATGACTCAGAAAACAGACGCCGCGCCACACTGGCGGCCACTCGAAGGGGCACAGAATCTGTATTGACTGCGCTCGTACATTGAATTCTGCCGTTCGAGTTCTCTTTTAATATTTAGATTGAATATATTCATTGACAAGTTAATTAATACGTGTTTGCAGAGACGGTTTACGGTTTGTGTAGTTTTCCATGGTTATTTGTATACAGAAAACAGAATTCGCGAGAACACCAATACAGTTTCCAAACATGCAGAGAGAAAACAAGCCCTCAACGTTTGATCAAGTATAATACGTTTTCATGAATTATGTAGTTTGCAGAAGCTAGAACCAAATGGAAATTTATTTATCCTCTCGAACCTTGTTTTAATAGGCTTTCAGTAAAATGAAAGCCTGTTTAAACATAATTAAATTTATCGCATTAGCTTTCAGATAATAACAAAATTAGAATATGTAAAATGTAATACGTATACTAATATTATTATAACTTTTTCCTACTAATGAATACATTTGATATGTTAAATGAAATAAAAATTTTATAATTAAATAATTGTACCAGTTGCATTAAGAAAATATCGAACCTACATCAATTTTCTATAAACTAAAATATCTAATAAATTCTCATACGTTGCTCAGACAATTGCCACATTTCTTCAATTAAACTGTTAACGTTCAATCAAAAAATATTCTATTGTAATAACTATAACCATGTAAATTCGTGGTACAGAATTTATTTATTTATATCAATCTCCATTGCCTATAATATCATACTATATTAAAAACTATTAAGAATAAAGATTCCTTTTTATAAAACTGATTTTAGGGTGAAACAAGACAAAACTTCACAACACTCGACAACACTCCATTGTCTACCACTTCCAAAGAACATGTAATTTTAAATACTGCAAGAGCTCGGTGAAATAAAAATTAGCTTGGTCCAGGAAGCAGTATCTTCCTCAACTCTTCCAATTCCGCTTCTGTTCACCGTGTAGAGTTACTGCGTAAGAAGTGACTCATGGGGGTAGAAAACGGTCTTTCAGGTTTTTACTGTCCGGATCGTAAACGTACGGTAAAAAGGCCATAAGCCAGACAAAAGATCCCTGCGGGTCAAGCTCGACTTTTTCTCTCATTGCGCTTTAAAAGCGTGTTCACGCCGATCGAACCTTGCCCCGCAAGGGTAATCCCCAAGCTTGCGTGAACGCAGGAGAAACGCTCGAGGAACAACAAACGTTCGGCGACTTCTTTGCCTCGAGCGACACCACTACTGTGAAAATTTAAATAAACGCGGCCCTCCTTCCGAGTACGGCGCATAGTGTCGGCAACGCTTTTTAGTCTTTCTTCTACTTTTCGTTTATTATCTGACGTATCAACGTGGAAACATCCCTTTTTTTCTCAATAAAATAAATATTATCGTTGCAATGTAGCTTCAGCGCATCAAAAGATGGCCGCAAATAGACGAACTATGTTAAAAATGAATTTAAGTGTGTCAAAGATGTTTAGGGAACACGAAAAAAGATATTTAAAATTTATGGGTTTCTTTGTGTTACTTTCTAATCCTGTGTTCTGTGTGTGAAATGAAAATCGCGTAACGTGGAACTATGGAAATTTAATTAAATGATTACTAAACGAAACTAAATTCCACGTATGAATTAATGTACGTATAAGTTGAAATTACAATACGGTGTAACGTAGTCTGTATATGTTTGCAGCATCCAAAGAATTGTTGTATTTCATTGGGTATATTTATGTATTGTGCAGACAATTATATGATTTATAATTTCTTGAGAAAATAATTTTTTCAAGTAAGTAATGAAAGAGTAAAATTGTTTCGTAGGATATTATTTTCCAGAGAAGTTCTTTTAATCAACTGTTCCAATACACATTGTTAATGACTGCATTTATTCGAACTAATTTTCTGAGAGTACTGTTAATGTGAATTCATGTCTTTGTCCCGTAGCCAAATACGGAATCAAAGCAGTGGATTCAGGGAAAATATATGCATGAGCAGAAATCCAGTTACATGAATATTAGCTCCTATTATACGAACGAATACACATTAATGGAGGGGAGAATTAATGAACTCTTATCATACAAACGATCTCGTTATTTGAATCGTCTTGCCGCCAGCACGTACAGATAAACGGAGTCCTGAAATTACATTATTTACTACGTGCGTTAAATCAAGTCTATGGATCGCAATAAATTTTCCATTCCTAAAAGGACGAAGTTAATTACAAAAATTTTACGTCTAAAATGTTTCTGTATAAAACAACAAATAATTACAATGAAATAAAACAAAGAAAAATGTTAGAAATATTCAAAACGCGCGCCAAACCTTTGTTTTGCGTCTTGCTTTCTGAATTGCTTAAAATGAAATTTATCTATTTTAAAATATTTATTTCTCTTGACAGAATTGGTTAAATAATCATCTAGTTATGACGATAGAATAATTAAGTAAAGTTTATTTAAGAAAGTGTCTTATCAAAAAATATTCAGAATAATATAAAGGTATTAACTGTTGATTTGGAAATTCTGTTAGTAAATGCGATATTTGTTAATATATCAAATGAATAATTACTAATACAAATGTATGGAGGGAGAGAGAAACAATCAATAACTTTGCGATGTCATAATACAAAATGAATGTAATACTCTCAAATAATCAACCTCATCCAAAATGTACACAAATAATTCACAATAAATTACACTGTATCCAATCATTTCAACGCGTACTCACCATTTTTCAAATCCTTTGTAATATCCCGTGTACCAGTTGGAATATCCGGTGCCGACAAAATTACCAAATTGTCCGAGTGCTCCCCGTAATTAATGACCGAACGAATGCAAAATTATGCACACCCGCGAAATATGATATCGCTCACGGCTTCTATAACGACATTTATTCTCTTATCGATGCAATCGCGCGAACGCAGTTATCGCGATTCATTTCCGCGAATCACTTCAACTCCCACACCGAATTCACCGGAACAATTATCGCTTATTACTTTTCTCCTCGAAGTATTGAATGATCGTTCGTGCTACTCCGACGCGCAATATTTAATTCCACAATAATTTAATTGGCGCGAGGAAGTGTTCTTGATCGTCGAAACTGGTGAAGTTCGTCGGTAAACGTGTCTTTTGGTTTCAACGGATCGATAACTGGCGAAATACCTGTGTGAACATCGAATGCGTCATTGCACGGGATAATTAAGGGATAGCCCTCGCGCAGAACCACCCTACTTGCCCTCAACAGCGGCTGCAATTTAATCGGCCCGTCTATTTGTTTCAGCCACTTCTCATTCGACGCGATTTTCAAGCTGCCCTCCACGGTCGTTCAATCAAAGCAATTTACGTTTTTCAGATTTACAAACTGAAAGATGTTACAAACAGTACAGCCGATTTTGTTTTCAAACAATTCTTATTTAACATGCATTTTTTTATACTTTTAGACGATCTGTTTGATTTTACTCGATTTATAAAGCTGTTTAGTTTCTTTGAACACGGTTTGTTTCAATTGAACACAATTATTCAAATTCTAACGCGAATTTTCTTTTGGTTTATTACGTTATTTTGTTGACTTCTTAAGTCTGGAACCAATATTTATTTTTCGATAGGTGTAGTATATTTTTTTACAGAGAACGTATCTATCATGTAAAAACAGAATCGAGTGTATACAGTTACATCCGCCAATCCATATGTATTGAATCATTTCATAAATTATTGCGTTGCGTTTTTATTCCTTTTACTTTTAAAAATTAAGATAAATAAGACTTTTTAAAATGTGATTATAATGTATACATTGATAATCTATAGATAATGAAGGCAAATGCATTTTAGATTAAAAAACGTTTTGTTTAACTTAATTTTTAAAAATTAAAGGAAAAATTAAGAAA